GATAGTCATTTTATAAATTTTCAAATATTTCAGATATCTTATATAAAAAAAATTATAGCCTTTTCTTATAATTGTATTATTACTGCAAAGTGGCAATTGATAAATGCAGTTCTATTCCAAAAAATTGCCATTTACAACTAAAAAATGTAGTGTAGTTAGAATAAAAAAATGACCAATAACACATCATTTTAACCACTAACTACTATTAACATCGAGTTTTACGATGAATGTTGGCAATTTTTTGATATCATTATCAAAAATACAAATGATATTAACTAAGCCATAGGGTGAACAAAAATTCGGTCCAAACCAGCAAAAAGAAAAAAAAAATCAAATCAGTATTTTCCTTAAAATGGTTCTTGGACCACTCGGTCAAGTTGCAAAACCTAAACTAAATAGTTTTATTTTTAGTTTTTCAAACATGAACATGACGTATTTAAGCTTTATATGTTTCAATTTTTTTTTTAAAAAAAAAAAAAAAACGCCTACAAACCAAAACCATATAAGATTTGGTTTCCAATCCTAGTACTCTAGTAGCATCTTATGACCTGACCCCTATCTAGTTCCAATCACATAGAGGTGAACAACATGGTCAGCCATGTTTTTTTCCTAGATTTCAAATAGGGACCATAACGTAAAATTAATTCAATTGGTTGGTTACACAGCACTTCTTGTTATATTTCCATATTATAATGTTTTTTTCACCTTTCTAACGACTTGCTATGATCCTTTTTTTTTTAATGTAATTGATGTTCCACAAATAAAAAGATACATGTGCACAACAAAACCAGTCATCTGATTTGGCAAGTAAGATAATTGATTTATATCGTTGTGCACTTCTATCTCTATTTCTAAACGAAGTCAAGCAATAATCTATCTGTCCACATTCCACACTTTGTGGATGAAATGGTATTTAGTAAGCTACGCAAGTCACAAGAGGCATTAACTTACGGGCATTATTTTAAGATTCAAGCAAAGGTTATCATAACTTGTTTTTTTTTTCTTTTTTTTAAACAAAAAAATTATTTTCCAAAATAAAGTTTCCAATAAGTGCTCTCCAAGTTATCATTTTATTATTCAAAAAATAATTATGTTTTATACTATCATTTTTTTTTCTTTTTAGCCATGTCTCCCAAAAAAAACCCTCTTGCAAACTATGGTAAAAATAAAGTGATAAAACTTATACTAGTTGAAACAAAGCGGTCTATCATAAAGTACAATAATAGTCCTTTTGGTAATTTATTGGCACTTAAAAGTTAGAAATATTAAGTCATTGTCACACACTCAAACAATTGATCATATGACTATTATTACTTCAAACATAAAAAAACACATCAACCGATTACAAAAATTGAAAGAGATTCATCAAGTGTAAAATAAATGGTAAAAAGCTAAACACTAAAAATGGTAATAACAATAACAATAAAATATTTTATTAATAATAACAATAACATCAACATTAATAAATAACAACAGTAATAATCTAAAAGTAAAGAATTGGTAAATCACTTGTTGGATAAGAGATTGTCAAGACAACCCAACACTTGACAATTACAAAAGCAAATAATGCAAATACTAAAAACTCTGCCTCCAACATATGACAAATAAAATCTCACTCTCCGAAAAAAAATAGAGAATTTCACAAAAAAACATTGTATTTTTCAGCATGTTATTCAAATAGCATTATTTTGTTTATCTTTTTAATAAAATCATTTATATTTCTAAAATTTGCTGATTTGGATTGTTTTAACATGAAATCTAAAGAAACAACTTTAGGTATAGAAGACTAGAACTAAATTTATATAAAATATACTTTGTCTTCGCACAAGTAGTCAGACTAATGGTTTGATTAGCAACAAAATACGACTGTTTATATTACACACGAGCTAAAATAATGACTTCTGCTAATAAGAAAATTATTGATAGCGACTCCCATCAATAAGCGAACCCATGAGAATAAGAAAATGTTCCTCAAGAATACGACTAAATTGTAAAATTTTCTAATTTAAACTATAAAATTTTGCAAAACTCTTATGGTTTTCTCTTTCCCAAAAAAAAATGTTTTTTTGAATAAAATGTTGGAAATATAGTGAGTTTGTGAAATTAACTCCAAAAGACAAACACTCTAAATATAAATGCATGTCATACTTATCTGATACGTAAAAAAGGTTAAAGAACCGCTACTATTTTGGTTGAAAAATTATAAAAACACATTACCTTGTTGCCATTTTGGATGAACATACAATATGTATTTTTTCAATAGAATATACCACGTGTAACACACCTATATATTATTATTTAAAGAAACTTAAAAAAAGAACACTTAACTGTGCAGATAATCAATGTTTCGAAATTCTTAAGGGGCAAGAAACGGCCAACGTTCCAAGCATTGACAGATGACAGGTATGTTGTTATAACCATATATAAAATTATTTCAATCTATAAAACATTACTAAAAGATGGAGAAGGCTTCACGTTGTTGGTTTGACCTCTATGATGTTATATATTACATCAAAATACATTTATATAATTTTTGCTTTTAAATATTAAAATGTTAGAAAAACAGTTCAATTCGGATTATATCGTATCATATTAAAGACGAGTCAACCACAAAATAGATAAAATCAACTACAAAAGTAATGAATCAAATGTCTAACTAGTCCAAAGTTGCTTAAGTTTATTGACTTCATTCCAATGATCGAAAATCTCCAATATTCTTTCACTTTTAAAAACTGGATGATTATTCATCGACAATCAGATAATATGATTTTCATAATCCTATTTATTACATTAGTTATATATATGAATAAGCAAACAAATAAGAAAGAATCGACCAACATGGGACTATCACCGTGGGCGAATTATTTGTTTGGTTGGTCATTAAGATATATTAAAAAAAAGATGTTAAAACCAAGAAAAAGATTATCAAATACAATCCGACGGAATACGTTGTCAAGCCCTCTAGTTGTAGGTTAAGTTTTTTGATATGTTATTAATTTATTATATAAATAAGATAATTATAAATCATATTTCCACATGGCTTTATAACACATGGCTTTTTATAATTGGACTAAATATATATTTTGGATCAGATTTTTATCTAAAAAATCTACAATTATCTTAAATTGAAAAAATATAAAAAAATTATTTAAATTCATAATTTTTTTCACTATAAATAAAGTATAATATTGACATACTTTCATATCCAATTCTGATTTCCCATTTCGATTTCGTATTTTCTGTCATTGATCCTTCGCTGCCAAATAAGTTTTATTTTAATCTTGTGGCTCTCAAGATTATCTAAATACCAAATATTATGAAAACTCTTAGTTTTTTTTTTTAAATCCAAATCAAGTTTATGAAAATCTTCAACCCTCATAAAACATTGAAATAGCAATAAATGAGATGTTGCTAAAGATATCGTTTTAATATCAGGTGTATTGCTAGTAAAAATAATATTCATGGAAAAAAACATTTAAAAAAAAGTATCACCGTGGGCAAAAATAAAGGAACTATACGATACGATGAACGAAAATCAAATAAGAGGTTGTTATACTCTACATAGCGAAAATGACAAAAAATGGATTGATGCCTAACAGGAAGATGTCATTCATGCTTTGTAAAGAGTACCTTAAAAGACCAAATCAATATGATTTGGCAAGACTACTCTATGTTAGGAGAAGAATATGGATTTTCAGGTATAGTATTCGTATTGACTGCATGCATTGGGAATGAAAAAATTGTCCCACTGCTTGGGTCGGGCAATATGCAAGTAGATGTTGCAAAAAAAACAATCATCTTGGAAGCCATTGCACCTTATGGCTTATGGATATGGCACACATTCTTCAGAACATAATGTCCGTGCAATAATATTAATATAGTCCATCGATCTCCTATTTTTGGTGATCTATTGGTTTAACCGAGCACCAAATGTGTGTTACTTTGTGAATGGTCGAAAAAGTAATATGACATTATCTAATTGATGACATTTATCCTTCATGGACTGTTTTTGTCAAGTCAATAACAACTCCATAAATCCAAAAATAGAAGTTGTTTACTAAACGTTAAGAGTTTGCCAGAGATTTTGGATGAGTATTTGGAGTTTTACATGCTCATTTTGCATTTCTTCAACGGCCATGTCTTATGTGCGACAAGGATATTATGGGAAAATTATGATTATGTGTATCATCGTCCATAATATAATCACTGATGATGAACGAGACAACATACATTCACTATTATGATCCAACCGGATTTCTAAATGACATGCCTGCAAAACAACGGTAACAACGAAGCAGCTCTACTCAAGATGATGAACAATATTTTGAATATTCTACTAAATGAATTGCAAGCCTATTCACTTATATAACCAATAGGGAAACAACTTTATGAAAGAAAAACTCGCACCGCTCTAAAAACTGATATGATCGAGCACATCAAAAAAATTTAACAGTTTTGAATATTATGTACTTTGCACCTTCTAATCTAATACTTGAATTATCTTTTTTATTAAGTATGTTGATGAATGTTAAATATTTTTATGTTTATCTATTATTTTTAAATCTTTAATAAATAAAGTTAGTTGTTTTGAAAAAAAATACTTTTAATAATTTTTATTTGAATAGAAAAGAATGATAGATCATGTTTATTTAATAAAAAATGATTTCCGTTGAAATTATTTTTGTTTTTATCCAACTTTTGGTTGTAATTTTATTTGGTTCAGATCATGTCTTTATTTTATGTACTATATATAAACCGAAAATCCAACTATTTTTTTTTTCGTATATTTCGCATGTTCACACTTGTGTTGTGTCCTATTGGTGTGATTATAACTAATAAGTAAAAAGTCTAAGACCCTGAACTTGAAGGGAAAGCTAAGCTATTAGGCATGAAGGTTGCCTCTAAGATTTAAACTACAGACTTCCACAAGTTTTCCAAAACTGCATATCCACTCAAAATTCATCATTGCTTTCCAAATTTCTTTCATATCTTTTATTTTTATAACATAACATATCCACTTAACAATTTTCTATAAAGATCAATTTCATTATAAACCAATTCAGCAACAACTCAATGGAGGGAAAACCAAAATTCCTTCATGGGACACTCGAAGCCACCATCTTTCATGCCACACCTTATTCACCACCATTTCTACTTAATGTACGAATAAATTGTTATCCTTTTATTATTATTACTTTTTTTTTAACTTTGCCTCTTTTTTTTACAGTGCATAAACCCAGCTGGAAAACCGACATACGTTACCATCAAGATAAATCATAAAAAGATAGCATCGACAAGTCACGAAAGTAGTCGAATTTGGAACCAAACAATACGTGTTCTTTGTGCTCATTCGATAAACACAACAATCACAATCACCCTCAAGACAAAATGCTCAATTCTTGGAAAAGTCAACATTCAAGCCGATCAACTGTTACAAGAGTCGAGCTTGATCGATGGTTTGTTTCCAGTTTGCATGGAAAACGGGAAGCCAAATCCGGAATTAGAACTTAGACTCATGTTATGGTTCAAACCCGCGAATCTTGAACCAAATTGGCGAAAAATAATCGATAAAAATGTATTTCATGGTGTAAAAGATGCTACATTTCCACTAAGGGGTAAATGTGGTGTTACCCTTTATCAAGACTCTCATCATCATCCTACTTTCAAACCGCCATGTGGGTCCCCAAGAAAACTCTGGGAGGATGTTTTTGTAGCCATTGAAAATGCAAAATATTTGATTTATATCGCCGGGTGGTCTTTCAATCCTAAGATGATTCTGGTAAACAAAAGAAAAAATTGCAACAAACTTTACTTTTTTTTTTTTACCAATATAGGCAATGTACTTTATTTTTATCATTATAGCAACGTACTAACATTTTTTACCAATAATAAGCGTACTTATTTTTTTACACATAATAGCAACGTATTTACAATTCCTTACACATAATAGCAACATACTTGAATTTCTTTATGACGAGTAATATGTAACAGATGAAGTACATTGCTCATACTGGTAGCAATGTAAATACTTAGCTATTATGGGTATAATAATATAGTATGTTGCTATTATAGGTAAAAAATAAAGTACATTGCGGAAAATATGTTGCTATTCCCGACAATTTTCCTTTAACAAAAAGATTGAAAATTTATATATCATGCAGGTTAGGGATTCCGAAACGGAAATCCCACACGCAAAAGGAGTATCATTAGGTGAAATATTGAAGAGAAAAGCAGATGAAGGTGTATCTGTAAGGATCATGATTTGGGATGACGAAACTTCATTACCATTTATAAAAAACAAAGGAGTAATGGGGACCCACGACGAAGACGCTTTCGCCTATTTCAAAAACACGAAAGTGGTATGCAAATTGTGCCCTAGGTTAGCCCACAACTTCCCAACATTATTCACACATCATCAAAAAACCATAACAATGGACAAGCGTGGGCACTCATCTTCAAGCAAACGAGAAATAACTAGTTTTATAGGCGGAATCGATCTTTGCGATGGCCGATACGATACCGAAAAACATTCGATTTTTCAAAAATCAAATACGGATTTCTATCAAACGAGTATATCCGGAGCACAGGTTGACCGAGGGGGCCCACGAGAGCCATGGCATGATGCACACGCGTGTATTATCGGTGAAGCTGCATGGGACATAATGCGTAATTTCGAGCAACGTTGGGTGAAACAATTTGATCCTTCGTTGTTAGTCCCGGTTAACAAAATAACCGATTTGGGACGTGAGTCGGTTACCATAACCGAAAGGAATTGGAATGTTCAAGTGTTTAGATCGATCGACCACGTGTCAGTTTGCCACGTGACGAAGAATTTTACAATCGAACAAAGCATACACGACGCGTATGTAGAGGCGATTAGGCGAGCAGAGAGGTTTATATACATCGAGAATCAATATTTCATTGGGGGATGTGATTTATGGGAGAAAGAGAAAGATCGACATTCGGGGTGTAGGAATTTGATTCCGATTGAGATTGCACTTAAGGTGGTGAGCAAGATTAAAGCGAAAGAGAGGTTTGCAGTGTATATTTTGATACCTATGTGGCCGGAAGGTGTACCAGAGAGTGAACCGGTGCAAGACATATTGTATTGGACAAGGGAGACTATGAAGATGATGTATGGTTTGATTGGGGATGCGATTAGGGATAGTGGTGAGGGGTATCATCCGAAAGATTACTTGAATTTCTTTTGTCTTGGTAATAGGGAAGTGGAAAAGGAAGGAGAGTATGTCCCACATTATTCTCCGCATCATGGGACACAATATTGGAATGCTCAAAAACATAGGAGGTTCATGGTTTATGTACATTCAAAACTCATGATAGGTAGGTAACCTTAATTTTATCAATACTTTTCATCGATTCATAGTCATAAAGCTAATGAGAATCGTTTGTTGTTTTATTTTAGTGGATGATAGTTACATGTTGATAGGATCTGCAAATATAAACCAACGATCCATGGATGGGACACGAGACACGGAGATTGCAGTAGGATGCTATCAATCAAAAGATGAGAATGTTGAGAAGACAGATAAAAGAGATGTTCATGGTTACCGAATGTCATTGTGGTATGAGCATACGGGAAGAGTTCAACAAGTTTTTCAGGATCCTGAAAGTTTGGAATGTGTGGTGATGATGCGTTTGTTTGGGGAGCAAATGTGGGAGATTTATTCAGGGGATGAGGTTATAGATATGGAGGGTGCTCATCTAATTAGTTACCCAGTGAGTATAACACGTGAGGGTGAGGTTGAGGATTATGTGGATTCTGGTGGCTGCTTTCCTGACACAAAAGCACAAGTAAAAGGGAGAAGATCGAAAGTTTTACCTCCAATATTTACGACGTAGACGAAAACGCCCTTCACCTCATGTTTTAATAGATTCTGTACATATAGCATCAGAAGATTGTTTCTAATCAGGCCTCAACAGAGGAACACATGTATATACGTGAGAAATCTGATCTTATGATAGAACTTGAAAATTGATGAATAAAAGAGAGGAAATTGGACATGCCTCTTTAATGATAGCAGCGTGAGAAAAACTGAGACAATCTTCAAATAGTTTTAGTTGTAGAGCAAGTTTTTTAATATATATTTGAAAAAGAACCAAGTCCGTCTGCAAAACAACAGAAAAAATAACAAATATCATCAGGCATAGTTTCGAACAAAATACTTAATAGTTAATAAACATTGCATTAATTAGATCAAAAATCTCTATGATACTATTTTGAATAGGATCGTGTTATCAAGAGCTAGACTTCTAAGTTTTATCACCTATGATACTATACTTCCCAACTCAACATACACTATTCTTTAGAATTTAGAGGCTGCAACTATAAGAGCTAATATACAGGTTTTGTGTCAACAGAATCCTCCAACTGGTTTTCTGTATGCCAACTCCAATCCACCAACAGATAAGATAATAGTGATGAAGCATTTTGTTCAAGTAAGCTTTTAAGGAAAGAATATGTAGTCTTAACCAAATAAACATGCAAGAAAAACAAAGTTGTGTGCTGTCAACAATGAAATAAAGCCTTAAAAATCCAAATTATGGTAATTTAACACTAGAACTCAATCATGCCACACAAGAGGAGCATTGTCTCCATAAGTTGTAGGAAAAAGCAACCGAATATTCCAAATGCACTTGGTTAAAATAGCTAATTAGTCCAAATAAAGGTAACATTTTTTAGATTTTTGCATACTTAAGTGCCCTTGTAGTATATTATTATCCATAAATGTTTAAGACAATGGTGATCCACGCCAAGAGGTTTCGATTACTACTTGTGTTTTAGAAATTAGCATCAAAATTATTGTTACTGTTGGGTTTATTTAGTATGGGTTAAGCTCATTAAATGACAACAAATTTTTCCAACAATAATTAATTTGTTGCTGAAAAGACACACTCGAAACCATTCTTGTTGATCACTATTTCATGACTTAGGATGTACAACTAAAAGTTCAATGACTCGAATGGAATAAAGATAAACTTTTGCTTGGAGGTCACATACACAAAATCTTGAAAAATGACATAAATATCCCTGATTACGGTTTTTGTAGTGCTCAAACATAAAAAAGAGAATTCTTCTATAATTAAATAATTAGAATCCAACAAAGTTACTTTTTCTTTAAAAAGAAAATCTAAATTTAAATCACTAATATTATTATGGTCCCCACCCCACGTGTTAATGAATCGTGCAAATGTCAAGACGGACAATGACTCGTTATTCAGCTTCCACATCATCATTTATGTCCAACTCACTGTCCACGTCATCAATAATAACCGGCAAAGCTTAAAAAACAGCTGTTTGGACCAAAAAAATTAGATGGTCAAAATTTTTTGAGATTGGCTTTTTCACCTAAGGGCGTGTTCAATAACTTATCCAAAACACGTAGGGCCTTCCTATAGTTTGCCCTGAAGATGTAGCAAACAATGTAGAGGAAATTTTGACTTACCAATTTGCCAAATGCACATGAAGACATTCAAATTGTTGAATGTCGATGCAGGATTGGAGCAGACAAAATCGCTGGATTACTTAGATGGATGTTCTAACACATGATTGCATCATGCCAATCTGAAATATATCACTTCATCAGAATTTTGGATCATACAAGAACTATCAACTGGAGAACAGTATGGTAAGTGTTCACAATCTACCTGATATCTTCAGTTATTTACATGAGAAACATAATCTTTATGAGAGAATTTTTAAAATTGATGATAAAAGTATAATTAGATAATTAATTTTTTCCAGAATTTCCTTGTGACTTGATTTTTCCAGTGAGCTTTTAAATATAATTTTGAAAAAAGAAAAAAATACAAAACAAAACTTCCTTGTGACTTGATTAAAATTTAGTAATTTATTGAGAAATTTTGTCAAAGTAATTTGATTACAAAGTACTTGAGAAACAACATAATAATGATAGTACAATTAGATAAATATTTTTTTTGCTCAATTATGAAAATAATCAAAGTCTGATTATTATCATTTTAATTACTTTGCCAATTACGTGCTACAAAAAATCAAAATTATATCACAGAATACAAAACTGATTTAACATGCCAAATACACAGAAGGAAGAATGAAACATGAAACCATGAACTCATTTGACCAAAGAAGCACACCATTAACTGCCAATTCACAATCTTTTAAGATTCGCTATGATCATATATCTACTTTAATATTTAAAATACAGCATTCAGGTTCTGATGATGGGACCTTGGGACGTGAAAACATAAGAAACCCCTGGTTTTAATGTTATGACCAATTCTGGGAGATTAAGGGCAAAAAAAGGAAGTGAAAATCATCAGAATCTACCCCCAAGCAATGGTGTAACAGATGAAGTTGAAATTTTGGTGTGAATTTAACTTTCTCCTTAAAGTTTCTTTAGTTAATTGTATTAGCCAAGATTTAGGACTTTACCTGTTTCGGTACTTGAAATACAATCATATCCATTCTTCCAAAACCATTAAGAAACGTATTTCCAACATCCAGAACCAAGTCCTTCTGCAAAACAACATAAAAAGAACAAATATTATGAGGTAGAATAGTCCCTCCTTATCACAATACTTAACAACAGAGACTACTTCCATAGATAACCTCCCGCATATGAAACACGAGCCCATAATGGTGAATAAAAACACGGAGGGGGAGGGGATAAAGCAAATACTAGCAATAAAGCTAAATATAAAAAAGGACAAGATATCTTCCCACTTCCTTCTCAGGCTTCCTCTCCTCCTTGCACCCACCAACTATAACCGTCTCCACCCTCCTAACTGCAGTTGTCAGTTATCTCCTTTGGACATCCATGAGCCACGACAATCTTATGTCCCTCAATTTTTTGGTGATCAACGCCAAATATCTGATTTTTTCATGTTGGGTATTTTGTCCAACAATGTTCTACCAAATATCCACCGCAACATCCTCATTTCCACGACTTTCATGCTCGATGCTCCTCCTTGATTGACCAACATTTTGATCCATACAACAAACATACTGCCCACCCTGTAGAATTTTCTCTTCAATTTCAAAAGGACCTTCTTCTCACACAAAACTCTTGTGGCCGACCTCCACTTTAACCATCTTGCCTTCATGCAAATGGCAACATGATCCTCAACACCCCTTTCCTTATAGATCAATACACCCCAACACAAAAACTATCTTTTGGATGTAGAACTTGCTCACCAATACATACTTCTACGCCTTCATCATTTTGCTCCACATTGAATTCACGCCATAGATATGATATTCCATCTTATCTTACCTGAGCTGATTTGTAAACCCCTTTTCGTCCAACATCGTCGGCCCCAAGTATATAACCTAGCATTCAACTCGATCCTAGTTTCTACCACCAAAACATTGTCAGCGAAAAAAAGCATATGCCATTGAGACCCCTTCCTATGTATCTCAGGAGAAACTTGACCCATAATCAAAGCAAAGATTGCGGGCTGAGAGTAGATCCTTAATGTACCAATTTCCACAGGGAAAGTCTTTGTGTAACCAACTCCCTGGAACCCTTCTAGTTCCAGGGTCCTCCAAATCGTCTCACATGGTACGCTATCATACACCTTCTCCATGCCGATGGAGATCCCTATTTCTTTCTTTATGTTTCTTCATAAGGCGTCAGAGGAGGTGGATCGCCCCAATCGTCGACCTTCCTAGCATAAAGCTAAATTGATTTTCAGATATAGTCGTTTCACGTTGCAACCTTGCCTCCACCACTCACTCCCATAGTTTAATGGCCAACTGAAGTTCTTCCTTTAAACTTCATATTTGTTACAAATAATGCGAACAAAAGACATAACCATACTGGCCTATAAACTTATTAGGTCCACTATACCTGGTCTTTATGGTAATTGCTCGAAGGTATCACAAACTCTAGTGTCTCATACTCATGCACAAATAGTTAAGTTTTTAAGTTTCCTTAAAATGAAAACCGGTCATGTATTTGGTCCATTGTGCCTGGCAACTGCTCAAAGGTGAAAAGGATACCTTATATTCATTCTTAGAAATAACTTCAGTGACAATCCCAATTTTGTTCTTCTTATAATAAACTGACATGTGGAACCCAAAAGCATTTGCAACTGGATGTAAAATTGCATCTCCAGCGCCGCTCTCTTTGAGAAACCCCAACAACTAGAGAGGTGAAGCGGTATGGATATTGGATAGAGAAAAATGAAGTTGGATAATAAAAAGTTAAACATTTCTATCAATATGAAACCAAAAAGGAAGTATATAACAAAATCTACCCTAAAAGATTCATATTATCTTTGTAAAGAGACACATAGGCACATAGCTAAGGATCTAGGAACAAACACCTAGTGTAAAAGTTTAATAACTAGGTGTAGCTCAAGATATATTTTCACATGATGAAGAACCAATTTTACCCACAAACTGAGTCAGAAAACATGCCTACCATTAAAGTCCATATGTGAACTCAGCCCCACATCAAACGCCATGTCAACCTTCCTTCAAGCTAGCCAACAATGCAAAATGAACAGCTGGTCTTCGTGGCTATATCACAGCATTATTAGATGAAGAAATGAAACAGCAAAAGTCGCACCAAAACAAGATACACGAAACTACATAATGGTTGCCCAAAGTGCTGCAGCAAATCAACAGGAGAAATCAAACTCTTCATAAACAATCTTCAAAATGTTATGGACCCTCTCTGATTTTCCTCTTCACTTTTCCAAAATCTTTCCTCATAAACTGGTTATCAGTTTCTCCATTGCAAACTGGTACAAACAATTTGTAGGATAAACCAACAAAGGTCAAAAACCTAGTACTATAATACTGCTGGCTAACAAAATCCCAGATACGCCTACCATACTATAAATCCTACAACAGCTATTTCTAGATAATACTGGATCTGTCAGAAAGACCAAAATCGCCAATTCTTTTAAGAGAAATACTTTCTAGGATTTGATATAAATATATCCAATGTCTGAATTTACAAAAATACAACATCAGTGATAATCTGTAAGAGCTCCAAGTCATCCAAATCCTCAAGCAACTGTGTGCCAAATGTTTCTGACCTTCTGTAGCTAGTTCCATCTTCCCTCTATACCACTGCCCTCAACAGATCTTGAGAGAGCATTGTATAGGGACACAAAGATTTTGAGACGCATATATGAAGTCATACAGCAAGCTGCTATGATCACTTGATCAAGAACTAGACATCTAAGCTTTACCATCTATGATACTATACTCCCCAACGTAGTAATACACCTACAGGTTTTGCGTCCATAGAATCCTCCAATTGTCTTTCTATATGCCAATCTGAAGTGATGAAGCATTCTGTTGCTTTATGGATGTGGTCATATATAAGTTAATGAGTATGTGGTCTTAATAAATAAAGAAGCAAGAAAAACGAAACAGTATGTTGTAAACATTACAATTAATGGTTAAAAATCCAAATTGTGGTGATTTAACACTACGTCTAAATTGTGTAACATGAGGATCTTCGTCTCCATAGTCCATAATATAGCTAATGAGTGCAAATCAAAGGATTACTTATTTAAATGCAAACCTAGGAGGACCCATATTAATGTAGAAGAAAATATGTCTTTCTTCAAACTGGAACACAAACCATCCACATTTCAATGACGTGTCATGCGAGATTTCTCAAGCCCAGCCCTTGAAGCAGAACTTGAGCCATACAACGGACCCTTGTCCCCAGCACCCTGAGGAACAATGGAGACACTTCAATCCAGAAATTTCAAGTAAATTTACGAGTGGCATAAGTGTAATTTTGAGCAATATTGTAAGCAATACCAGGTGAACCCCATATCCATCCCCATAAGGAGGAGGAAAATGACCATCTGAACTGCCAAATTTCATCCCATATGACCCACCTAAATAATCATGTATCAAAAAATCCATATTCAAAAAGTAGAAAGTAGGAAAAACAAGAAGTTAAATGGGTATTGGCTATGGTTTAAACTTTAAAGTAGGCTGCTAAAAAGTTAGAAAAAGAAGGATGTAGATTTAGCCAAATATGAAGATAATGGTATAATGGTAAATACCAGCACCCCATGATCCAACATCAGTATTTGTAAGTTCTGCACGAAGCTTTTCAACTTCACGCGCCATGGAAACCAAATTCTTCTCCATAGCTTGTCTTTGTTCCATCATCTCTATACTTCCTTTCTTCTCATAATCAATAGCAGCTCTACAGAATATGCAACAACTTTAGCTCAAGAAACTCTATCCATTTAGCAATTAATCTTCAAAGATAAGAGGGGATCAAAAAGTTGAAAACCTAGCATGCATAAGCTCATTGTGAAGTCCTTCATGCTCTGCTCTTAAACCCGGAAGATGCTTGTTATCTCCTTGAAATTTTGCAAGGTCTTTCTTGAGAATCTGAACTTGCCCAGATAAATCATGCCTTAATGAATTGAGCCTCTCAATTTCCACATGGAGTTGTGAAGCCTCGTTTTTTATAGGTTCAGTGGCAAGTAAATCAGCTTCTAGTTTCAAATTGTTTTCAATAAGCTGTTTTGAGTATATTTCATTATCTTCTTGAATATCAGAAATTGCAATATTCATTCGCCTAAGTTCCTCTCTGGCATCACCCAACTCTTGTTGCAGAGCAATTCGATCCTCAGCTAAGCGCCTATTTTCACCCAAAAGTCTGCGGATTTCATGATGTTGCATTTCAAGTTCCTCCGCCAACATGGCAGGATGACGTGGCATAGGGCCCCGTGATGGAGCCACTCCTCGGAGATGCCCATGCCGGTTGTCATAGGGCCCACGAGGATAACGCTTTCTCCCTGACATTTAAGATGGCCCTAATGGAAGTATAAAAACATATGATCAAGTAGAATGGCAACTACACAAAACATGTCATTCTTAAAGCTACAAGTGTACAAAGATGATGTGATTTCTCACTAATGTAGTAAGACACAACCCCTGTTTGAATGCCTCAATTGTGTTCTTAAGGACTACTCTTCCAGTCTCACTTGCCATTAATTCATCGTTACAGATTGTTTGTTATGTTCAATTGTTCATTACCTACCAAGATGTACTTCGACTTATAAATAAAATTCATTATCTGTTTTTGCAAACCAATTGAACAAAAACAGAAGCAAGTCCATCTATAACTACAGTGCACCTTCGTTGCTCCTACAAAGGCAAAGCAATGAAAACGTTCGTTTAAAATCAACCTAGACAAAAGAACAAACACCTTCATCTCCGCAAAAGTTCCATTAACAGTACACGAATACAATTTTCTTCGAAACTATGAGCAACAAAACATTGACGGGACAAAAAACTGCAAAAACAATTTGATTAAAACCCTAGTATTAAACAAAAACAACACATATTTTGGTAAAATTGGGGGGATTATTATGTAGAAACAAAGTACGTTAACCAGATGGATAAAATTACGTAACCAAACCTTGATTATATGAAGGATAACGATTAAGTTCTGCAAATATTGTTCACGTTCTTCGCTTGTTAAGGAGAAACCTGGACACCTGAGTGTGGTTCATGAGGGAACGTCCCCAATCCCAATAGGGTAACGGAATTATGGAACCTTTGTTATGATTCCGAACGATATCGTTTTGTTGTGTATTGGGCTAATGACGGTGTATACGGGTTTACCAATTTAATTAAATGGATTCAACCAATCTCTCATTTATTGGGTTGAGTTGGCAGTTTCAGGTTAGGATTGCCACTCCCAGTGGTTGGTAATCGAACCATTAAAGTCTTTTACCTGAGTCATTAATATTCAACGGCTTAACACTTTGCTAGCAGATTAAATGCGTGTGACAAAACTAACGGGTAAGTTATAGCTTTTATTTGTTATATTAGATTATAATTGGTGGGAATTATGGGTAAAATATTTATAAAATATTTAAATTATTAATAAGATTTAAGATTTTTTTAAAACATTTTGTATTTTTTTTTTACTTTTTGTATTGATTATTTAATATATATATATATATATATATATATATATATATATATATATATAAAAGTAGCCCATTCCATTGTATGTTGAATAAAGTTTCTGTTTCGATGCTAACGTGAGCCATTTAAAAGCTTTTGTGTAGTTTTGTTTAACCACAGCACCTCCTGCATAGATCTCACCAAGAAGCTCCATAGACCTAGGTGTACCTTTGTCTACAACCTTTGAGAACCACCACAATGCTTTGGCATGATCACGCCTGAAACCTCAAAAATGAAATTGGTTTCAAGTGATATTGACAAACTTTGTTCAAAACTATGTTCACCAACCTAAATTCATTAAAGCAAAAATATCCATTAAAAATATATACAATCACTAACACCTATAAATGGAAATTGAGTTTGATAAAACATTTTTTACTTAACGGGAACACCAGTTGATCTGGTGATCTGATATGGGTCTCTTTTTGACACATTGTAAACAGAATAAATCATTTTTACAAATTTACCCTCAACCTGAATGATGTGTCTAAAAAGTTATTCTAACATCAAACATAAGCGAAGAGAGTTGAGAACTAGAAAATAATTTTGATGGTGGGAATCTGAAAATAGCAGGGGACTACAGATAATACTTCCATTGAAAGAACTTTTACACCCTTGAAAGAAACGATGTCTTATACTCTATATCAATACCATATGTTGTTTATCCCTATCTTATTCCACCTTTTTCTCAGCAGAAACAAACAAAGCAAAGAAGTGAAACAACAAACCCGAAAAAACTCAAATACAATAATTAAGAAAATAAAACACATAACCAAACCTCATGGGAGAAATCGAGACTTCAAATCGCGAGACACTGCATAACCCACAAAAATGAGAGAACTTAAAGTCGAATTTTGCAATTTCAAGAAAACCCGGATGGAATTGAACATTAACCTGATGAGTTTGAAGTAGGATCCAACGTTTCCTCTTTGCTTTGTAATACAGAGACAAAAAATACACAAAATGTATGATTTCTCCTACAACGGTGGAACGGATTTACAGGCGAAACAATGGTGGAGAGTGGAGGTGCTACTTAGGTACGGCGGTGCAGAGTAGGGAAAAAGAAAAATGAGTGTTGGAGAAGGGGGCGATGCGGAACGGAGAAAGGAGTGAGATGCATCACAATCGATCGTAACAACTCGTTGAATATACCCGATGAGTTCATCTCGAAACCGCTTGATTTCCTTAAAGCAGCGCCCCTGGAACTTGTTCCAGATTATCGGAAGAAAATAACAGGGAGAGAACATAGAGGGTCGGTATGTGCTTTGGAGACATCGAATGAAGAAAAGGCGGTGGAGAGCAACGAGATGGTAGAAGAGGAGAGAGTCGATTATTTTGCGAAGACCCGATGGAGTACATTCTAGAAAAGAAGAAGCCGGTGAGAGATAGACGAAGGAGAGTCGGTGAGAAGCGGTGGAGCAGTCGGCTTTGATGGAAGGATTTGAGAGGATCAGGGCTTTTGTTGGGAGAGTACACCGACTGATCGACACCAATCCAATCTCTAGTGGTTTATATTGGCAGTGGAATTTGACATGAAGCAAGGAGATACAAAAGAAAAAAAGGGAAGAAGCCACATATGGAACCCTGTTTAGAAACTGGCGATGGTGGAAGAACACGTGTCCACAAACAATATACACAATGACATAAAATGACCCACTGCAAAAACCAAGCACAGATGAGACGGAATTAAACCCACAACTATAAACAGGGGACCCATTTTGCCAAAACCTTAGGAACTTTACTGTTCCTAAGGATTGTTCTTCTTTTATATATATATATATATATATATATATATATATATTAATTTGTCAAAAATGAAAGTACAATGTTATCACATACTTGTATGAAAACCAACTTATAATAAATTGATATAAATTAAGTAAGAAACCTAACTACACAAAACTACATATAATTACATAATTATCATTTTACTGCATAAAAATATATAGTGTTGTGTTTGAGGTTAAATGAAGTTATTATGTGGAAAATTACAAATAGTAACAAACTTTAGTCCATTTTCATTAACAATAGTTACAAGAAATAAAAAAATAAGGAAAAAAGAAAAAATGGTTTTAATTGAAAGTAGGATACTATTATGGGAAAAAATGAAAGTAAGATTATATTAGTTGTTTAACATTGAATACAAATATACACACACACACAACACAACACACATATATAATTAGGTCGTAGGGGTAAAATGATAGGTTATTTTTAGAAACGCAAAATATTATTGGTGACAGAGGTAAAATGGTCCCTGTGAGAAACTGTTACAAAAATGATCCCTATGGCAGAATTTTTTACACAAATGGTATTGTTGGTGAAAACTGTTTAAAAAATATCCAACCTTTTGGCATGAACAAATGATCATTTAAGAAACAATTTCAGATATGACAAATGCCACTAGCCATAGGATATTTGATGCATTGTAGTAACCAAAAGGTGGGATAAATTCAAAAATAACAATGTAGTTTAGGTTTTTCTTAAAAATTAAAAATAAATTCATCAAACATAAACTGATACATATGTTGTTTCGGTTTTCAGTGCATATATAAGGGATTGTTATTTCACAGTAAAAATAATATTAAAATAATGGTCGCAAACAACAAGAAATTACAATTATGCCCGTTTAAAAAATGAAAGTATGATGATATAATAAACAAAGCAACAAAAGTATGTTGTTGTTTCTTGAATTTAACATAATATATTGAATTTGGGGAATTTAACAGATAAGAGGAATGACATTTTTATTCGATACAAATGAAGAAAGTATAAAGGGATATGTTGAGAGCATGAAGAACAAAAGTGATGTGGAGGACTAATCTCCATTTTGAATTATTTTTGAAGGTGCTACTTTTTAACTGCACAATTTGTTCTTCTGGTCATAATGGGTAGAGTATATTACAAGTCTGGTCCTTGCGCTCAACTCAATATCATAAGTTGGCTCCATTTTTTTAAATGTTACCCAAGTCATTCTTAAGTTTTCATATCATTGCAAATTTTGAATAAACACACAGTTTGTAACTCCTCTTGTATCTATCTATGGCGCTACATTTTTTTTACTGAATTCAGTTATCTTGTTAACTCAAGTTTTATGTAATTTTTGATAGGTTTTATAGGTTACAAAAAATATGTGGCGGAAAAACTTAACCCTAAGTTCACATGCAACCTATTGGATCTAAGTTTTCTCTATTGATTGCAACAAACAATTGAAAATCAAGAACCCTAGGAATACTCTACTATTTTCGAAATTCATAAAGGGTTTTAGAATTTTGTAACACTCGGTTTCAGATTGCTTCATTATTCGGGGCTGTGGACTAATCATCAGTTATCTTAGGGCTTAAGGCATTGGGGGAAGATGTGATTTGGCCATTTTTGGATGTGGTTGTTATAGTTTAGTGATCCGAGTGTTCGATGGTGTTTCGGAGCCCAAGGGTATAATCATAAACTGGTAGTCGGGCCTTTATGAATTTCGGGTTCTCGTTCGGGAAGTTTTAAGGCAAGGATGAGTTGTTAGAAGCGTAGAGCTTCTCGTCACCTTTCCGTGGATATAAAGTTCATTGGAAACGGACTTAGGACGAAGGAGTTAAGGTCGAATGAAGTTTGAGAGTTTTGGAGGGCCATCTAGTACGCGGGGCGTACCGAGTAAGATGGTCGTGGGTGGTCTTTGAGTACGCCAAGCGTACCAAGGGGTACGCGGGGCGTACTCCCTTCAGCCATGAAACCCTAATTTTTGGTCCTTGACCATATTTAAACCTCATTTCCTTCATGTTAAATAACATTTTATCATAAAATAATATCACTTGGAGTTTGGGTAAAAAATATTTAAAAGATAACATAATATGTTTATAAATGGATATTTATAAAAACACTTTTACAGGTTAAAAATTGATTTTCGTTGAAAATAGTTTTATTGTAAAACTTATAAGTACCCAACTTTAAAATATTTGAAATAGTTTAAAAGGTGTTTAAACATTATATAAAAACTCCATGTATTTATAATAAATAAGTGTTTTATTAAAAAGATTTAAGATCGGTTTATAGCGTTATAACGACAAATAATAAAATTAGTGATTATTTTTTGCGTCGAAACTTAATATATGATATTGGTGTTTTAAACATAACGCAAAATGTTGATATTATGTTTTATGCATGCCAAATGAGATTTAAAACATAAGTATCATTACCCAAGTTTTGGTTGATCAAAATATGATTTTTATCATAAGATGCATAAAATTGAGTTTATAAAATAGAAGAAGTTTATTCTATAAATTCATAAAGTCATAAGATTTTTATTGTTAAAAGGAGATTTAAAATAGTGATTTTATAACTCATCCAAAACTCCAATTTTAAGTATAAAATAAAGTTTTATTAAGATTATTACCGGTTCTTAAAACCGATCTACGACTAAACTTTAAAATACCGGATTTTAGTTTATAATTGATCGTGGCTAATGAAAAATAAAATGAAGTTTTATTTGGCATCTAAAGAAACTCATAACAAGTGATATGAAATTTACAAAAGGGTACATGAATTGTTTGATGCATGCAATATTCATGAGACCATGTTTTTATAAACTATAATTGTAGAACATTTATAAAATCTTTTCTAAAATGCAAGTCATTTCCGTCCTTCTTAAAAACAC